TCTGGTATCCTCTTGATTAAAAATGTTACCTTGTACTAGTTCTAGTGAGAACAGAGAATAATACTCCTCTGTTGAAATAGGAGATATAAAAGAATATAGATACCTCTGTTTTCAGGTAGGAATTTAAACCACTGAGGATGAGTGCAACTTCTCTGATGAAAGCTTCTTCTCCTTATATGCAGCAGCTGCAGCTTTCCTTTTGTAATCTTGAAACTTCTGGGCAGAAGTTTCTCACAGTACGAAATAGCATATTTAAAGACAGAGCAGCATTAATATGGCTCATGGGGTTTTTTTATTTCCCTTGAAGACTCTATCTTCTTAGGTATTACTAAACACCTGGAGATGAAGCTGTACTGGGACTTGACATTAATCTATTGACACATCATAAACATCAGGTGCCTGAAGTATTAAGAATGATCTGTACTTTATCTTGAAATGCTGTGGGAGTGCCTGGTACAGCAGATACAGCGATTCCCACCTTGAGAGATTCTTTCTGCACAGTCATTCATTTCTAGCTGTTGTTTAACAAAAGCTGTGACCACCTCTTTTTTTATTCACACCCACCTTATTCCTGATACATTCACAAAACTCACCAATTGCACTACAAGTACAGCCATAAATAATTTCTAGGATGATCAACACTACTCTTGCATATTGCAGATAGTTTTCTACGCTACTGATACTTCACATCGAGGTACCTATTTCTGAAACCCACTCGTGTAAAGAAACTATTTGTTTTCCTTTATCCATCTACTCTTACCTATTGAAAATCTGAAAGAAGAAGTTGTGATTTGTTCACACAGGGAAAGGCAAATTAACTAACTCAATATTTTGGTACGAAAGATACATCTATACGTATGTTTGTCCTTTTCTTGTCCTTTTCTTTTTTTTTTTTTTTTTTTTCTGATGTCTGCACTTCAAAATAAAGCAAAATTATGTTTCTTTTAGTCAGGTGAGTAGGTCACCAGAATGAGATGAACCAAATTTTCTCTAAGGTCTAGAGTGAACAGAAATCTTCTTTCAGCCATGTTGAGTTTCCATTTTCTCCTGCTTTCCTTCTTCTCAATAAAAAATTAATAGTTTGGCTCTTAGTGATTGAAAAGTGACATGGAATTTTGACCCTGGCAATGAGAATTGTACAGCACTGCCCCATATTTAAATATTTGTAGCAGACTTTTGCTTGAAAGCACTGTTTCTAAATTATCTTTAGAAAATGATTGCTGAAGTTAAGAGCAATAAAACATGGGCTGGTAAAGTGTAAATGTGTAACTTCCCAGTATGTTACCAAACACTCTTCTTAATGCACATCAATCTTAGTTGCACATCGGATCACAAATGATCAATTTTCAGAGGGCCTAAGAACTTGCAAGTCTCTCGCTCCAATAAGAGCCGAATGTATACAGCATTCTCATCTGTCCATCCAACATTTTATACATATATGTATGTATGCATGTTTAAATTATCCCATTTTTGTGGTACTGAAGAAATTAATGATTCATATATAAGTAACACATGCAACTGTGGTACATAGGTGGATGCTACAAAGCAATGAGCAAACACACAAGCTGTCAAATTGTGTGATTAGTGTGTAACAGAAGTCACTTAAAGAGAGGCAAGATTACACCACTCTTATCCATATCAGGAAGTATTTCATTCAACTGCTGGTCCTTTTGGGTCAGCTTCAAACCCCTAGTCACTAAGTAACACTTTATTCCACATGTATTTTTTGATATAAATTGGACTATCTCTATAGTAAAATACTATTAGTGAGAAATAAGGGAAGATAAGGACCATTGGATTCACTAGGTCGTACTAGTAATTGAAAGGAAAAAAAAATATGCCCTCCTAATACAAGTGAGAAAAGTTGGATCTTACTGAGAAAGAAATTATTTATTTGCTATTAAATATTTATAGAATCAATTGGATGTACTAAGTAATAATATAATATTTAGCATGTATATACATCTCCATATATATATAGTGTATATATATACATACATATATATATGTGTATATATAACATTTTAAAGAAAATTATGCCATTAAATATTTGCTGAGAAAATGAGAATGAAGAAATGCAGTTCCATTGTATGAATTACATAGTATGGGATTATCATGTTTCAAAACTAGATCTGTAAAAACTAATGGGAACATTTGTTAGAGAACCCTTACAAAATTGTTTACCTTCCCCTTACTGAGGTACTGAAGAAAACTGCTTAACTGGATTGATTAGCTAAAAGAGATGATAAAGCAGCTGGATTTTGTTTCTTTTTTTTTTTTTTTCCCCACTGCCTACACCTTTGATTCCTAACTGTGTAGGGCAGACACAGGTTTCTTGGAGTGATTCAGGGTATAGTGGATCCAGAGAGAGAGATGATCCTTTACTATTTCTCCTTAAGTCTGCAGTTTAAATTTTACATGAGGAAGAAGTACAGGACCAGACATAAAGTAGTGCCTACATTCTAAATGCAAATTTTATATAAAATTTTCTCCAGGGATATGGAGATGAAGAATACAAAATATATTTTAGTAATGCAAAAGTACAGTGAAGAGGATCAATTTTCCCCTCTAGCTACTTTAAATCTGAGCCTTTTCTAAATAGAAACCAACTACACTGTTTCTTACTGCGTCTGTTTTGCCAATACAACTACAAAACACAGTATCAGTAAGTATGTTTGAACAGGTTGTACACTAGGGAAAGCTGAATGTTTTCTAATCTACTAACTGGACCATGAAAACCTCCAAAACACTCTGTGCAGATAATGAGAGAAAACAAGATCAGCATTAGATATATGAGTATATGTTATGAGGAGTTTCAGTTAACATTTTCCATAGTTGTCATAATGAAAACTCTTATAGAAACCACAACACACTTTTTAAGGGAGGAAATTCCTCTTTTAGCTTTATATAGATTTCAGGAAAAAAAAAATCATGATTGATCTTATACAGTGAACACTGTAAAAAAGAAGGAATCATATTTTCCATAGGGAGTTTACACTACAAGTGAAACTTTACTATTCAGTAGCATCAATACATTAATTAATTGCTTTATATAGACATTACATGGTAGTAGGAAAGTATAATTTTCTGTCTTTTAGTAACTATTACACTTGTCAGTAGGAAAAAATGTGGAGTGTTTCTTTTTAGCTTTCTGACAACTCCATTTTACAGTAAAAAAAATGTTGACATTACTTAAACAAGTGTCATGGAAAGTTATTTGTTTTTTAAAGCATGAGTAATAAATCAAATTATCTCTGGTTGTGCCCTAACCTAAACTCTTTCCTAAAGTGTCACTTTTTGTTAAAATCAATTTCAGATTTTAAGTATTGCTCCACTCACCTAATTGATAGCAACACAAATTCATGATAGGCATAAAATGAAATTGTTTCTGTGACACAAGTCAATAGTGGCTTGAGAATTAGTTTACAGTGACCTTGTACAGGCAGGCTTTTTTTTTTCCTTTTTTCCCTTTTTTTTTTTTTTTTCCCAGTTATAAATGTTCAGTTTCCAGTTCATCGATTACTTGAATTTTGGTCCTTTAATCAGTCAATTATCACTGGCCATTTCTATTCAGTTTAAAACATCAGATACAGCTGGCAAGTAGAGCATTTGATGTTCACAGATCACAGGGCATGGTAACTCCAAGGTATTATGAATCTTCTTTAGGTACATCAAGTGACTACAGCCCAACTTCTTTCCCACTAGCTGCATACACAAAATGAGTCTGTGTCACTTCTGATACACTCAGCTCATTCCCCTATGACTCAGAACAGCATATCAGGAGAACCACAGGATAAAACAGATATGACATTTCAAATATATTTAATAGCCATTATCCAGAGCCTGCTTTCAATCCGAATGTTAAAAATCACTTTGGAACATACCTGTAGTGTTTGAACATTAAGCTGCATTAATCATGAAGCAATACTTTAAATTAAATCAACTGGAGCCAATTTCTGCCCTCACCTTCACTCTGCAAGTTCACTGCTCTGAAATAAATCTTATGAGTTTGGACTTTAAACTACCTGCTAAAAATTAAGTCATTCTTTGATTAGTATCCTATAGCCAATAGTCCAAATTCTGCCATTTCGCACATTCACAAAAGTCAGTAGAGGACAGTGTGGATATAACTGGCAGCAGAATGCAGCCCAGATACAATTTCTAAATGAGCTTTGGTAGAAGACAGAGCATGTAAGTCTTTCACTATAAAGCAATCACCAATGTTGACTCAGGCTACTGGAAATCTGACTAGTTGTTTTGCTGGCTTATGAGAGGATGTGAGTTTTGTTAACATTTGGAGGTAGGAGGGAGTCACCACATACATTTTTTTTTCTATTTGGCTAAGCAGAATTTTCAGCACTGAAAAATTAGTTGTTTATGGGGAGAGGAGGAGGAGGCAATGGGGCCCCAATGATACTGTCAAAAATATATTTATGGATATATATTCTGAAGAAGGAAATTAAAAAAAAAAAAAAAAACCGCATCTTGGAAGGATAGCTCATGTTTACATACAAGATTGGAGGGCTATAATACACTGTTGCAATAGATGTCCTCAGTGTGCAATTTCTTCCCTGTCCTGTTAGTTACTGCAGGTGGTAGGTCCACTTTAGAAATGCCCTCCCTCTTCTCCACCCCAAACCAAAGAGAAGTGAAACCTGGGGAAGTGCCCACCTCTTCGACAGTCTCCTGGGAAAATACCCCAGCATGCCTCAAATGAGTTAAATGCCTGCCCACACTCTCACATGCACCTCTTTGGCACTGCCGTAACGCTGTCTGTGTTTCAGTGGGCATTTTCTTTTGAAGTACATTGGAAACATCAATGAGACAGCAGAACCAGACCCACCAGATGTTGTCTGGTTCCACTTTCATTAAGTCCACCTCTCTTTAGTGACTTGTGTTGGTTCCTACAGTGGTGCCTTACAGCAGATTGCACTGCACACAAAAGGGAAAGTTAAACCAGTGTCTAAAGTGAGCTCCAGGGTATTCTAAAAGTCTCCTACCTGAATTATGGACATCCGGCTCGGGGGAGCCTCGCTGGCGTTAGTCCCTTGCCCTGTGAAGCTGGTGTGGCAGCCCACATGTCCCTGGGGTACAGTCAGGTTGTTGGAGGCGGGCTTCAGGTACATCACCTCAGACCTGGGAGAGCTGAGGGGCAGGCGGGTCTGGTAGTCAAAGTACATGGGTGAGGTGGCCAGGGATGGGCTGCTCACCACGTTCATGACATTGAGGGGACCCCGGCTGTCCTCGCCCTCACTGGGCACCAGCATAATGTCATTCTTGCTGATCTTCTTCTTCTTGCCCTTGCCCCCTCCACTGCCACTGCCTCCTCCTCCCCCGCCACTGCCTCCCCCTCCTCCCAGCTGAGGGTGGCTATACTCGGCAATGCGACAATTATAGGTGCGGATCTCCTTGTTCTCTCGCTTGCACTTCACAGCAATAGTGATCATGGCAGCCAGCAAGATGATGGAGACAGTGCTCAGTGTCACAATCAGCGGCAGCGACAAGTCCCAGTGTGGCCGCCGATGCTGCTCGCCATTCACCTGTGGCTCGCCAGCCTCGGGCAGGGGCCCCGCCAAAGCCCTGACTATGAGCTTGGCCACAGCGGAGAGGCTGGGCTTGCCATGGTCACTGACTTTTACCACTAGTTCAGCCACAGGGCTGAGCTCTTCCCAGTAGGGGTGCAAGGTGCGTATCTCACCACTGGTGGGGTCCATCTCAAAGAGGTGCTCCTCATTACCTTCCACAATCTCATACGTGAGGCGCCCACTCTCCCCAAAGTCACTGTCCAGGGCGCGGACGGTGCCCACGGGGTAGCCCACCCCAGCATTGCGTGGCACCTGCAGCTCAGCAGTGTCATTGATGAGGGCAGGCAGGACGATGAGGGGTGCGTTATCGTTGACGTCGAGCACGGTGACGCGCACTGTGGCATTGCTTTCACGGTGGGGTGAACCCGAATCTTTGGCCAGCACGCGGAACTCAAAGTGCTTTGTCTGCTCATAATTGAAGCTCCTCAAAGCATAAATAGCACCATTTGTGGGGTTGACAGAGACATAGGTGTAGATGGAGACATCTCCCACATGCCCAGGCAGAATGGAGTAAGACACTGTCCCATTTTGGCCCAAGTCAGGATCCTGGGCCAAGACTGAACCCAGGTACTCTCCAGGGATGTTGTTCTCAGGCACCTGCAACACATAAAGATTCTTGCTGAAGCGGGGTGGGTTGTCATTCTCGTCAAGGATCCGGACAGAAAATGACTTGGTGGAGTTAAGTGGGGGATTGCCCCCATCACGTGCCACGATGGTCACATTGTACTCGTCCTGCGTCTCACGGTCCAGGGGTCGGTCGGTGACCACAGTGTAGAAGTTGTCATAGTTCTCCTCCAGGGTGAAAGGAACAGCACCGGGCCCGCCACCACCACCCAGCACCCGACACTGGAGCTGCCCGTTCTTGCCTGAGTCACGGTCAGTGACCCGCACCAGGGCAATGACAGTTCCTGGTGGGGCAGCTTCACTCAGAGCTCCCTGGCGAACAGAGACAAAGCCAATTGTGGGAGCATTGTCATTGCGGTCGATGAGGCGGACAGTGACTTTACAGTGAGCAGGGATGGGATTTGGCCCCAAGTCCCGAGCTTGGACATCAATCTCAATGAGGCCACTCTCCTCATAGTCCAGGTTGCCCTTGACACGGATGAGGCCGCTCTGTGGGTCAATGCTAAACAGGTCACGGACACGCTCGGGTGCGTAACCACTGAAGGAGTAGAGCACCTCTCCATTGGTACCCTCATCGGCATCAGTGGCATTGAGGTCAATGACTGCCGTGCCTAGCGGTGCGTTCTCTGGCAGCTCTACCACGTAGGAGGCTGCCTCAAAGATGGGGCTGTTGTCATTGGAGTCAATGAGGCGCACATTGATCTGCACCGTGCCTGAGCGTGGTGGGTCACCACCATCCAGTGCCGTCAGCACCAGGGTGTGGTGACTCTGCTCCTCACGGTCTAATGGCTTCTGGATGACCAGCTCCGGAAACTTTGTGCCGTCACCACGGGACTTCACATCGAGGGAGAAGAGGCCGTAGTCATCACGAGTGAGCAGGTAGGTGCGCAGACCGTTGTCCCCAGCGTCTGGGTCATGGGCGCTGGTGAGGGGGAAGCGGGTGCCTGGTGCAGCATTTTCAGAGATGTCCATGTCCACTTGGTCAGAGGGGAATGATGGTGCATTGTCGTTCAGGTCCTGAATCTCCACTTTGATCATGCAGATCTCCTGGTCATTGGCGAACACCTCGAGGGACAGCTGGCACTTGGCGCTGCGCCGGCACAGCGCCTCACGGTCAATGCGCTGCTTGGTGTAGAGCAGCCCGCTCTCCCCGTCCACGTCCAGAAGGTGCGGGGCTGAATTCTCCAGCACCCGGAAGGTGGACTTGGGGCCGCGGCCGCCCCCGGGGCCGCCACCGGGAACGCCACGCTCCGCGGGCAGCATCCCGCCTCCCGCCGCGCCTGCCGCCAGCCGCGCATCGCGCCCGATGTTCCCGATGACCGTGCCCGCTCCCTGCTCCTCCGGCACCGAGTAATTCAGGTTCTTCAGCGACAGGGCGGGAGCCCAGCAGAAGAAGAAGCAACAAATGGAAAGGTACATCCCCGAGCAGGGGTGGGGGCGGCAGGAGCAGCAGCGACGACCAGGGCTGTCCCCGTCTTCTTTGCCTCCTGCGCTGGGGTTGTTGTTCCTCCGCTGACGGCTCTTTCTTTCCTTCCTTTTTGGTTTTGATTTTTTTTTTTTTCCCTTCTCTTTCCCCACCCCTATATTTCAAGTTCCTGAACCTGTTGCTCTAAAACATCTGCAGAGACACAGGATGAGAGGCAGCAAATAGACCATGTAGCTCAGAGGGAGGGAGCAATCGGGGGGGTCGGGGGGAGGGGAGGGAGCAGCTTCGGCAGCTTTTCAGCAAGAGCTTGCCGGGCTTGCAGTCCCCTCGCAGTTACTTCGTCTGCCCAACTTCGGCAGTGGGAGGGTCTCAAAAATCAGAAAATTTGCAAAAGATCTTCTCCTTCGGCCAGGCGATGTGTTCCCGATCCTTGAATCCCCGCAGATGTACAAAGAATAATAATAATAAAAAAAAAAAAACAATAATTAAAAAACCGGCGGCAGTGGTTGTTCTTCTAAAAACGATCCGAAATATTTTTAAATATGTATATTTATATATACATAGAAGAAGGGGATGGTCATAGGTCTGTAGCAGAGGTAAAAATGCTTATTTGCTACTCATTGCTTGTGATGCAATTGATGGAGTGGAGGGGTAGGAGAGAGACAGAAGGGAAAAAAAGTCTCAAGCTTGTTGTTGAAGCCCTCTTCGTGTGCAGTGAGCGGCAGTGAAATGTCTGATTGTACCGCGGGGTTGTTGGTTTTCAGGGAGTGTTTTGCTGCATTTAGAGATCTAATCTTGCATTGCTTGCGGCGGAGAGCTGCATCTCGCTGCCGTCGGTATTTTCCCCCCTCTCTGTCTCGTACACCCTGGGTCACTGTTTCCTTCCCGAACCAGAGGGAGAGGGAATAAGGATTGTACAGAAGAAAAAAAAAAAAAAAAAAAAAAAAAAAAAAAGAAGCCCAAAACCCAAACCACTCCGCCCCCGCCCGCAAAAACTAGTGTTCCGATTTATAGCTTCCTTTCTCCCCCTCTACTACCAGCCTCCCACCCGTTCTTTTGGGATGAAAAAATTAAGAAACCCACCAGTTGACCCCCATCACTAGCAGTAAATATATATTTTGAGAGAAAGCTCAGACCGTGCTCAATCAGCAGCACACTTGGGTTTCTTTAAGACAGGCCAGCAGCCGCCGCCACCACCACATCCTTTCTCTCAGTGTATCTATGCGTGTGTGCGTATGCGTGTCTGAGGAGCTGCACTTTTCTCGATGCAGTTTAATTCCAGTTTGCTTTTCTCTCCAGCCGAGAGGAAAGCAACAGGCAACCCATAGCTGGACGCATAGATTAAAAAAAAAAAAAAAAAAGAAAAAAAAAAGGCAAGAGAGGAGGTGGGAGGGCGGGGGGAGAAAGAAAAGCCACCACACACACACACACACACACTCTCTCTCTCTCAGTCTCTCGCTAAAAGGGAAACAGTCTCTGTATTCACAGGGCTGCGCTATCAAGTGCCTCTCTTTTCTTTCTATTCAGCGTCTCCTTCCAATGACACTGCCGCTTAGCCCTCTTCATTTAGGGGAGGTGAGAAGAGGAGGAAAAACAATCCTGGCGATGAATAAAGTGGAAGATCTTTTAATCGATTAATTCGCTTATATTAAAACCTATGCAGTTCCGCGATCAGTGTGATGCATTTTTTCAGTCCTTTCAAAGCCTTAACAGTCTCTCTGAGCATCTTGGTACAGGGGAGAAGAGCGGCAGCAATGCCAGATGCGTTCCCCCTCTCTGTTACACACCTTCCCTAGTGATACGGTGTATAGGTAAATACTGGGGAAGGGTAGCAAAATATTATTCCAGGTTCTTTTAACAACCTGAAATAAATGAATGGCAAATCCAGAAATGCAGGTGTTTCAATCTGCTTGGATGAGTCAGATCCAGCGGAACAAATCACATTCACTATCGCCTCATGTTCCTCCCTTCACAGACATTAGTTGCAGCTTCTTCCTAACGCTTCTCTGACTCACTCTATAGACAGGAAAGAAATTAATCAGATTTATATTTTGGAGAGGGAGGAGGGAAGAAAGAAGGAAAAAAAAAAAAAAAGAAAAAAAGGAGAAGGTGGGGGTGTCGGATCCAGCTACACTTTTACTATACCTCTTTCTCCGGGAGACTGAGGATCAGGAAAACAAGGCTGTTATCCACTCACTGGCACAGAGGCGCGTCTGTCTCCTGCTTTGCTGAGTGTTTTTAACCACCTTTCCTCAGTGTTATGTGTTAAATAAATCAGAGATCTTTCACATTAAAAGAAAAAAAAAGCAATAAAAACATAGGTTTCCAATACATAGCTCACAGATCTAGTTCCGAGTCTCAGTTCTGCACTGTTTTTTCTCCTTTATTTGAGTCCGGACCCAAAGTACACAGTTAATTCTGCAACGTGTGGTAGGGAGGCTTTCAAACGCAAAAGAAGAAAAAACAATTATTCTTCTCTGCCTCATTGATGGGTGGCCCCTTGCAAACAGACGGTCGCCAGTCTTAGCCAGGCAGCACGCGGAGTGAACGCCGATCCCCGATAAACCAGATCCATTTCACCAGCCGCCCGCAGGTAAGTGGAGAATTCAGTGAAAATTCAACAGTTGGAGCCGCGCTCTGCCTCGCTCTCTCTCTCTCCCTCTCTCTCTCCCCCCTCCTCGCCTCCCTCACTGCAGCACTCGCGGGGCCGCCGCGCCGCGCCGCGCTCGCCCAGCGCCGCTCTCCGACTGCCTCTATTCACCTCACGCCGCGGCTTAAACATTGATACGGATTCCCCGCCAGCCAATGGGCGGCGGCGGCGCCGGCCGGCCCCGGCGCGGCCCGGCCAATGGGAGGAGGCGGGCGGCCGGGCGCGCGGGGGGCGGGGCCGCGGCGGGCGCTGGGTGTCATTGATTAGATCGGCTCCGAGGGGGACGCGGGGTGCGCGAGCGGCTCGCGCGGGTTGCGGTGTCTGGCCGCTCGCGCACCGCAGCGCCGCGACCCCGGCCCCTGCCGCTTTCTCACCCGGCCTCTTCCTCACCCCCGCACCCCCGCCCTTATTTATTTATTTGTAAGACGTGTTAACAAGTCCTCCGCGTTGGCGGGTGGGGAAGCAGGGGGGACGCGGCGCTCCCGAACTCGCCCGAAGCACTGCGAGGGCGAGGACTTGTCTGCGCGGCGGGGCCCGCGAGTGACCGCCGGGCTGGAGATGCGCGGCGAGAGAAGGGGGGTGTGGGTGGGGGGACACCCCCGCCACCTCCGCCCCGGCCCTGCGGGAACCGCCCCGAGCGGGTCTCACCGTCCCCCAGGGGCAGTTCCCGAGGGCGGGAGCGCAACCCCTGCCGGCGGGGAGCGGGGCGCTGGCAGCCGCGCCGTGAGGGGCCGGGGGCCGCAGCAGCGCCCGCCCCCGCCCTCGGCGCGCAAGGGAGGTTCCCGGCCGGGGGCCGCGGTGGCGGGGGGAGGACTGAGGCTGGAAAGGTGCGTGCTCGGATTGCCGGAGGGCCGGTCTCGACCCGTGCGTACGGAAATGAAGCTGCCATTTGTGACGAGCGTGTAAGTAGCAAGAATCATTTAGGGGAAAAGAGGAAAAAAAAATAAAAAAAAAAAGCCAGGAAGAAAATAAACTCTGGAACACTTATAAGACGCTCCTGAATTATTTTAGGAGCGTCTCTTAAGAGTCAGTTAAGGCAGCTGCTCGTTTGCCTTGCTCAATAGAATAACCTTCAGCCCTGAGTTATTATGTCCATAAATATAATATGACTTGGAAAAAGTCTTGCAGATTTATAAATTCAAATGAGTGTTCTTTCCAGACCCATCTTCTCGTCCTGAGAACCTCTTTGTAGCTGTGAAACAGATAGTTTGCCGTCCAGAGCGAGTCTGCTGGTAACCGTTATAGAACTAATGCCGTGTTAAAATGCAGTGTATAAATAAACTGTGCATACATTAGTGGCAGCAGAAAACCACTACTCTCAGCGAGCCAACTTTCTGTGTGAGAGCGACGGACAGATGAAATAAAGGATATGTTTACAAAATGGGCTTTGCTTTCTGCATGAGGGCTTCAGATTGGCTGAGGGAATTTGGCGTGCCCGGCTAAGTCACGTATTTGGAGAAGTTCCCTATAAAAGCAGCATAGTATTGAAAGTGGAACAAACACCAGCGTAAGCCCCTGAGCTATCAGGAGGCCTCGGACGACTGCAGCTTGAGTCCTCTGCTTTCCTCTCCTTGTTCTGCTGCTTGTGCCAAACCTTTAGGATATCTCAGGATGTCCAGAGATTTTTCCACGCCAGTTCTTCTAATTGAGGGGAGAAAAAAGGGTCATTGCAATTATGTACTGGCTCCCTCTAGCGTGCCAGAGGTACTGCTGCATTTGGGGTATATCCCGTGTGCGTGCATCCTGTGGGGCGGGTGCGTGTGTGTGTGTATCTGTATACATACATACTGTGGGCTATACACTGTGCCTAAGTGTGCGCACATGTGGTAACACTAGTTTCCTTTCAGAGCATGAAAACACCAGCAGGAGTGAAAAAAAAATGGTTTGTATTATGGTGGCATATAGTATGTAATATATTTCTGACAATGTTTCTCAAGTTTACTTTAAAAAACAGCCTAAAACAGCCTCGAAACCCAGGATGAATTTTCCTTTTCCTTTTTTTTTTCTTTTTTTTTAAATTTTTTTATTATTATTATTTTTTGAGGAGGAGGAGGCCAGTGTCTTTATCACTTTTTTTTTTTTTTTTCTCCAGCCTGGTGAGAATTTTTTTTTTTTTTTAATATGACTCAGCATTACACAATAAATACTGACTCCACAATGAATTCAAGAATTTGAGGGCACTCTGCAGTTTGTGCAGAGAGTATTTGGGACTCTGAATTAAGGGAAAAACTATATAACCCTTTATACATGTAACTGGAGTCTTTGCTTGTAAAATCTGTCTTTTTTATCAAATATCTTGCAGCTTACAACAATCCATTGATACCAACGACATGCATGGAATACTTAGAGGAAAAATAAAAACTGAAACACTAGCACTGGTTCTTCAAACCTCTGACTGAGTGCCAGGTGATAATGATAAATGAAACTCCTTGCTCTACAAGTCACTTTGGTTTTGTGGTGTTAAGTTCAGAAGAGCTGCATGTTAATACTCATTCTCAGGTACGGCTGATTATTAATTATTTCTAATGATTTCTTGGAAATCATG